GACTGAGAATCAAACTGGTGACCCTTGGTTCACAGGCTGGTGTTCAATCCACCGACCCATACCAGCCAGGGCAAAAGTGTGTGTCTCTTTTTAGATCCCCGCAGGTGAGTGCTGGAAGTCCTGAATATCTTGACTTCAAAGAAACTGTATTGACCTGATAGCTTCGATCCTCAAATTTTACAGAAGATCTAAATCAATCTAAAAATAATTAAGAATCACCTGCTTAGCTTTGGGAAAAGAATTTGCAGCTCAAGTCTTTAAGTTTATATTGTTTATCTTTCTAGGACTTGAAAGCCTCGATGCTTTCATCTACGTATGGATTCATTAATTCAGGGGCAGCATAGAGGAACATCCAAGTGGATGGGCTCTGGAGTCAGACTGCCCAGATTCAGACCTGACTCTATGTGTTAATTTTTGGACCATGTTCAGTTTCTTTAACTGCTTTGTTCCTGTTTTATTTGTAACATGGGTATAATAATAGCACCTCTTTCACAGAGCAGTTGTACAGATACAGAACATACAACACTGTGTGAAACATAGTAAGTTTTCAATAAATGTCAGCTATCATTGAATGGTTAATTCACTCAAACTGAAATTGTACTTGGTACCTGGCATATGTCAGGTACAACAAGTCCCCAACGCCATTTTTTCAATGTTGTTTTGTTATAATGTTTATGAGGAACTTAAACTCTTGTTTATATTAATTAGCTTGTGGTTAAATTGGTTTTGGTAAACACTGTTTCATACCAGTCCCAAGAACTTACTGACAATGTTAGGTGAGAACTTACTGTAAGAGGCATTTTTGCCATTGTCATAGTCCCTCTCCACTCCACCTATTAAACAGGACCACATAATTATATAAATGCACCTAAAATATAAATTATTTCTGTTACTATTAATAATAAGATTTATTAGATAAAAGATTTGAAGTCAAGAGAGGTGAGAATGGCAAGGATCTAGAGGGCAGAGGTAGATGTCGCTTGTTAAGTTGTGAATATAATAATAAAATCCTGGATTTGAACCTCTTCACTTAACAACTTTGAAATATACAATACAATATTTTTAGCTATAGTCACCACACTGTACATTAAATCCCCAGTGTGCAGTGAAAAGAAGGGTTTACATTTTTAATTACAGATCTTTTAACTATAATGCAATATGTGAGTCCTTAAAACCTTTTGATTCTGCAGAATTCACATTAAAATAGAAGCACTCATGAAAAAAAATGTAAGATTCTCTGAAGATACAAAAACCTGTGCGATTACTCCTTAGCAATCACCACCTTAATGAAAATATTAGCAAGAGTAATCCACTAATGAATATTTCTATAAATGTAAAATTGTATTTTAAAGAAATGGGAAAAGTAATTTGGTGGCAGAGATAAGTAAGGATCAGCCTCCTTTGAGAAGGAGGAAGTGGGAAATGCACACACACACACACAAAGTAGAGAACACAGCAGGCTAGGATAGAATGTGTGTCCAAAGAGAGACAAAGGAAGGAGCAGAATATTGATGTGAGGGAATGAGAATTATGTTCCCTGTTGTACGCCTTTGTGGCTCTTCTTAACTTGAGCCCTATTAGAATATTTTGTGTGTAGCTGCTGCCTTTGGTGATATAACTCTTTAATGTGCTGGGAAATTAGCTTAAGAAACAACATGATTTCCATTTTATACTCATATTCTTGTCTCCTTACTAGTCATTTGTAAATTAATCCTATCCCATTGGAGACACATGCTAGCATAACAGGTAGGGAATGGCATGGGTAGATTAGAATTTCTGAAAGGTTGATCTAGTAGGGAATCAAAACTCAGGTTTTAGACACCTTTGACACCAAGGGGGACAGGGTAGCGGGAATCAGACCAGTGAAAGTAATGATGAATATAGCCAGATGTCCACTATCAAAAATTTCTCCTATAAAATAAGAAGAAACTAATTTAGAGAATTTACCTTAGGTGTCATTGGTCTCTAAAATCTGAGCTTCGATACTTTACGTGCTTAAAGAAAAATATTGCAGAAGAAAATTTTCATGGAATGGAAAGGTAGAGATACAACCTAATTTGCCCCCTCTTCCAAATTAGGTTTGGGTCGTTCTGGTCCTCCATCTGTTCTATTGGTAATTCCTTCCCTATGTGTCTGAGCTTGTCTGAGGTAGGACTGACAAAAGTATAGGAAGAAACATGGAAGACACTGAAAGCTCAAGAAGTTAAAACGTGTTGGATGCCATTTAAACTTGAAAACAGATGAGGGAAATATGCTGGGGTCTCATAGGCTTATTGAAAACAATGCAAATATTCTCTAACCTCTTAAATATACTGTCACACAGATCTGATACAGTTCATGTTTAATGTTTCATTTGAATGTTAATAGTCTTATTAAAATGTGTATAAAGCTTATTTTTACCAAAGAGATACAATTCATTATGGTAAGGTATTGCAGAATAAACCTTGTTTTATTTAAAAAAAATAAATTACTTAAGTAGAAATCACAGTTTGTGATTTAAACTCTATTGTTTAAACCTGTATTGTTCAATATAAAATAATGCAAACCACAGGGGTGATTATAATTTAAATTTTCTAGTAAACACATTAAAAACGTAAATGTAAATTGACAAAATTAATTTAATAGTATTTATTTAACATAATTTTATCATGTCAAAAAGTAAAATATAGAAATAAATAATGAGATACTTTAAATACTTATATTTTGTACTAAGTCTTTGAATTTTCATATACAATTTAAAAGTAGGGCACACCTCCATTTCTAATTGCCAAATTTCAGCTCAACAGCCACATATGGCTAGTGGTCATCGTATTGGACAATATAGGTCAAAGTTAACTTTTATGAACATTAATTCTCTAAAATGAAAAGATGCAAAAAAAATACACGTATAGTACTTATGTTTTTGTCTAAAAGTTGTATCCTTTAAGACTATAAAAATACAATGAACAAAACGAACAAATGAGCAAACTGGAACCAGAGACATGGAAATAACGAACAAACTGACAGTGACCAGAAGGGAGCGGGGAAGGGGAAAACAGGGAAAAGAAGTGGAAGGGTCTAGTGAAGGACCCGTATTATCAGCATCAAGGCCCCATGGTAACGGGCAGCTTGGGGAGACTGACCGCAGTGGGGCAGGGAGCGGGGCAGGGGAGAGCAACGGGGTGGGGAGGGAGCTGGGGCAACTGTAATTGAACAATGATTTTTAAAAACTGGAAAGAAAAGAAAAATAGCACCGTGTCTTATTATGTTATTTCTTTGGGGGGCATCTTTATAGACTACTTTTAGAATGTAACTTTTGGACACTCCCCATCTCACATCTTATGAAAATATTAGCAAGATTAAACCACTAATAAATATTTCTGTAAATATTAGATTGCTTCTGCTTATGATACGCCATGTTATCTCAAGCGTGGGGAATTGCTTCCACATTAAATGTTAAAATTTGAGTATTTGTGAAGAGTGCATTGTAATTTTCATTATATCTACCTGAATAAGCATTAAATTGAATTATAGCTGACAGGCGAACAAACTACCATGTTTTATAGACATTTAATTAAACATGTATTGATTTTGATTTTAGTTCTCTTATTTTGGAAGCATTATGTGTAATCTTTGGCCTCCACCTTCTTTGGCCTTTGAAAACCTCATAGGCTGTAGGCACTGTCCCCATGCCTGCTTGCAAAAATTCAAGGATACTCCTGTCCCTGCAATTCTCAGCGTGTCATCTGTGACAGGCTGTTACCAACATGAGCTTGCTAACTTCAGTTTTGCCATCAGGATATTCTGTTTGCTTCCTTTCACAACATTGGCAAATTTACCCTCGTCTATTTATTTGACTGTTAATTTGTTCTCAGTTTCTGATTTAAGGGAGACAATGATTGTGTCTCTTTTCTTATCTACTTTATAACAAATAACCTAGTACATTATAGATGCTCAGTAAACCTTAGATAAATGAATGAAGAAAAATGTTTGTTCTAAGGTGAAGTTCAAAGTTCATTTTACCTAAATGGGAAGTAGAGATTGTCCATTTGGTAGGGATCCAAGGTTGTTCTGAGCTGGACCCCATCTACAAAATAATTCCCACATATCCAGGGTTTCTGATATACCAAGGTTAGAGACATATTTTTTGTTGGTAACTTAAAGTTTATAAAGCCATCAGGTAATTTATTAATCATTTATATTTTATTAAGAACATTATGCTTATATTTAATAATGTATCTTATTTTTTTCCTAAGTGTCTTGTTCTTTGTATTTTTTACTAGGAAATCTGCTTTTTAAAAATTGTTTTCTTTTTTCCTTATTCTCTAAATCTGTGGTTCTCTATCTTGGTCTTCTTTACTCCTCCTGGGAGATATTTGACAATGTCTGTAGATATTTTTGTTGTGGGGAGGATGCTACTTTATTATCTATTGACCAGAAGAAAGGAGGTTCTTCAAAAAAATCATAAAATGGACAAGATAGCTCCTCAGTAGCAAAGAATCATCCAACTCAAAATGCCCATTGCACTGAGGTTGCTAAACTTTACTCCTAGTTCACTTAAAAAAAAAGTGATTCCTCTTTTATTCTTAAGATGTTTAAAAAAATGATTACTTCTGTTTATGATACACTTTTTGCTTCATTGTAACTAAGACTTTTTCAAGTTTGTAAAATGCTTAGTTTATCAGAGTGAACAGGCTGACTAGCAGGGAACATTTATCAATATGGTTTAAAAAAATATTTCCTCTCCTTTTTAAACATTGCCAGATAAAATGAGAGTTTTGATGTTGATCATGTGATTCTATCAATTTAATGTCTCTCTGTTAATCTGTTTGTAGGTCCCTTTAGATGGAATATGATGCTTCAGAAACCTTTTCATCCAAAGGATTAGCACCTGCATTATCATTGCTGCAATAAAACAGAACACTGAGTGAGGGAGGCCACGGACACCTCAAACCTGGAGTCCACGGTTCTATATTAAGTGCTGGAGTTTTTATTACTCTGCTGTAGGAAAGCCTTTGCCAATGCTTACAAGGAACTGCTTATCCCTGCTTCTCTGGGTCCTGTTTGATGGAGGTCTCTTAACACCACTTCAGCCACAGCTACAACGAACTTTAGCCACACAACCAAGAGAAAATGTTATCCGCCTGCCAGTGCAGCGATCACATTTCCAACGAGTTAAACGTGGATGGGTATGGAATCAGTTTTTTGTGCTGGAGGAATACATGGGCTCTGAACCTCAGTATGTGGGAAAGGTAATGGCCTATTTCTTTTGACAACCACTTGATAAGAAGGGGGATTATGCATTGGGTACTATGTGTGGACATTTTGCACAGGAGTTGAACAAACCAGTGACTAGAACATTGGAAACAAATTCAGGAGACCTGGTTTTAATTCCTGACTCAGTAACCTGGGTGAGCTTTGGAATATCATTTAATCTCTCTTTTCTTTGATTAGCCTATTTTTTAATGAAGTTAATATATATTTGTTTTCATTTTTGATATTGTTTGCTAAACAAAGTTAAAATACATAAAAAGTCATGAAAATCATTATTATTGCACATTATTTCTCACAGGCATTCAGAAATTGTTTTCCAGTGAGAGGAACAGGAAAAAAAGTACCAGGTATAAATACTCTAAACCGCAGTTGGTATCCTGAATGACCAAGATGTTTTTCCTCCGTTCCCCCTTAAGAACATGACATATAATTAGAATTGTGGTTCTGAGGTATTTGAGTTGGCTTGCTTATGCTTTATAAATAATTTATTTACTATATACTTTGGAAGATATTTATGAAGCTATTTATGGCCAAACTAAAAAAAGTTGGAACCCAAATACTTACACATCAATCTTTAACACAGCACACAATTTTCTAGTCATAGTTCAAGTTTATAGAAATTTATTTTTTTTGCAAAATAGTTTATCTGTTTCAGTCCATTTATGCTCTATTGCTATTTTTCTTACATAAAATTTTTGATCTATGAATGCCACTGGAAAAATATTTTTTCAGAAAAATCAGTATTGTATTTTACTGTGATTATGTTAATTATGTTTTTAAATCTTCTAAAATATTTTCAATAATTTTAATAATAATTTATAATAATAATACATATGTGAAGAGAGTTTAAAAGAAATCCAAGGACCAGAAAGGGAAGCCATAGTAAGAGGAGTATTAGGAAGCTGGTATATAGGAAAATATGTTTCCTGAACATTAAAGTCCTCAGAAATTCCTGAAAGCCTACACTAATGAGAAACATCATGAGTCTTACGATTTCAATGTTAAGTCAAAGAAAAAAAATTCATTTAAGCTCTTGATTTTTTTGCACTACATTTTTGGAATGTTTGGGGGAAGTTATTTAGTAACATTGAATAATACATTGTAGAAGTTCCTCAAATAGAAACCTGTGTTGAAAATGAAGACACAGCCAGGGTTGCCCTAAGGTGCATGAGCTCTTAGACAAATGTTTCTTGTGGGATATAGATATAGATAGATTATAGATGTAGATATAAATAGATATAGATAGATATATAAATATAACTAGAGTCATATCAAATTAGCCTTTGGGCGCCATCCTGGCAATCCAGTTTCTAATAATCTTGTAAAAGAAACTTCAGTGCCATTAAGCAGAAGCCATGTTCTTGCCAGGATTCTCACCTGCTAGAAATCAGGCCTGATCATGTGACCCTGGGACAACTCCATAGGTCCAGTATCAGGTATTGGGATGAACTCTGAAATTGAGTTGTCCAAGAGAGCCTTGGACAAGAGAGCCTTGATAGATACTGATGGGAGAAATGGGCACTGAGCCCCAAGCAGTTCCAGTCCAGCCCAGGACCCCCCCACCCCCTAGATGACACTGCTGTGCACAGGTAAGCCTGGGCACAAGAACAGCCTCAGGAAATCTTGACAAAAGCACTCCAGAACTCAGGAGTCCTCTTGTGTTACCGTACGCTGCTTCTACTCACGTGATTTCTCCATATACAGTCATGGAATGTAATAATCACTAAATTTTATTTACTTATTTAGTTAGTTAGTTAGTTATTTTTAAGTGAGATAGGTTCATGTTGTGCCAGAACACTTTTGTTTTTGGTGAATTAATTTAATATGAGGATTGAGTTTTGAAAACCAAGACAAATGAAGGAGTAGCATAGCTCTCAAACTGCCTCTTGGGTGGCAGTTATCTCAGCCTGCCCATGACAGAGCTGGACAGGGAGTCCAGGTTTCTGATGGATTTCAGGTGAAAAGCTGTGCTCTGGTTTGGATGGAAACACATCTATAGCTGTTAGATGAAATCTGAGGCGAGAAAGTTGATATTTTGTTGACTGTTAATGAAAACACTTCTAGTCTGTCCTCAGTAGAGTTGTATTTTATGCTCCAGTGGACATAAGTAAAATACAGCTACGAGTTGCTTGTGCAAGTTTTGTTTGGTATTACAGAATTCTACCAATGTAAAGAGAATGGAATTCACCCAACTCATTTAAAAATGAATTAGTATTTCAAAATAGATTAAAAAGAAAGAGGCATAAGATTGAACTCTTCTAAAATTAAGACAATTTTACAGGTACTTGGCTCTGCATTTATGAGACTTACCAAACCCATGGTTCTCAGGCACTGTGTATTTCTCATGCAAATGAAACAACAGTTGCCAAAATCTCCTTTCCACAGGGGAAATAGTTAAACTTTAATTAACTCTGTCTTAACGATTCTAGATGTGGGAATAGGAATATAATAACGTGGGGACCAATTCAAACCATTACATGTTAAGTATATAAACATATAGAAATATATTTAAGCTATTGCTTTTTCTAGAAAGGCTTTGAGTCATTCTGTAGAAAAGAAAAGTAAAGCGTTATAAATAATATAGAATCTGGGGCTAAAGAAAAAGGCAAGTGCAAAATTGCCAAGCAAAATAACCAGCCAGACTACCATAATTGAGCTTCAAATTTAACTTTGTTTCTGTGAAACAAGAGTATCTATGGAAAAACATTAATTTGGATAGTTCCCATGATTAGAGTTTTACTTATTAAGAGGAACATTTTATTTCCCTAGATTCAAATGTTAAAAAAAATATCATGCAGAAGTTTATGGGTGGGAAGTTTCTGAGTGGCTTATTGGACATTCGCCTCAACAGTTGTTAAAAAGGAGAAGACATTCATGTCAACATCCTTTCAAGAAAGACCAAACAGTGAAATTGCTTAAAATGAGTATTACTTTACTTTACATACAAAGGAAGCACAAATGTGTCCAGAGGCAAAGCCAATGCTTTCCTCAAATAAACATTTTGGGTTTTATACAAGACCTGAATAAGTGTAAGGTGGCATACTGCAGAGTAACACAGAAATTAATTTGATTGGGAAAAATTAATTCACGTATTTTCAATTGCTCACAGTTTCTATCAATAAGGTCTGCATTATTAATCACATTCACACACATGCACACAGTAAAATGGGTGCTTACAGCTACATATACAACTGGCTGCCTATGTTTGTGAAGCACTATGTCTTAGCCTCAAATCTATGTAGCAAGAAAATGTTGCTATTTTATAGTTAACGAACAATCAGGAAATTGAGTTGTGATTTCTCTGTTAGCAACAATTCTTAGTCTAAGTTGTTTAAAATGGCAAAATTTAAACTGAAACTCATATAAACCCTATCTCCAGAGGCATCTCTTTATTCACCATATTTTTGATTGATGGTGCATTACAATTTGAAAAAGTTCTAAGCACTGTGGGGAAAAATTTAATACGAAGCTTCCTAGATTGCAATCATTACAGGTAAGCTATACTGAGTGCTTCTCAGGCATGGCTTTCATCACTTCATATACATACCTTGTGTGATCTTCTCAGCAGCTCTTCGAGAGCCATTGATAATAACCCCATTTTCTATATGAGAAAACTAAGGCACAGGAAAGTTAAGTAACTTCTTCAAGTCACAACACTCAACTGCTGAAACTGGATTTTTAAGCCAGATAGTTTAGCTCCATTGCACCAGAAAATAGCACAGTGTATTATCTTATAAGGATGTTAAATAACAATAATTTCAGTACTCTGTCAAATGTACTGTGGTGAAGAACCTATTAGGGACTGTGGAGACAAAGACAAAGGACAGTCTATCACTAGTTCTTAAAGATGGAGGATCAAGAGTGGCTTCCCGAGTCAGGAAGCACCTGAGGTGTGTCTTGAAGGATGGCTTTAGTTTTTCAGAAGAGATAGTTTGGGAAAACATTTTTATATGCTCTGAGGCTTAAAAGTTCATAATGGGTCTAAGTAACCATATTTTAATATAGTCAGAGAATGTGATGCCAACTGTTTAAAATAAATAAATACAGAAAGCATGGAGAGTTTTCATTCTGCTACCAAGATCAGTTTTATTTGTTCTTATTTATTTTTAATTGAGGTATAATTGACATATAATGTTTTATTAGTTTCAGATATACACCATAATAATTTGATATCTTTATACACTGTGAAATGATCAGCACAATTTGTCTAGTTATCATCCATCGCTATACATACTTGCAATACTTTTTTTTCTTATGATGGGAAATTCTAAGTTTCACCCTTATTAGCTTTCATATATTCAATATATTATTAACTATATTCACCAAAATGCACATTACATTATTATTTGTTCTTAAAGGTGTCAAAAGCCAAAAAAGTGTCTTCATTGAGGATTCACTTGGACAGAATTACAGTTTTGAAATGATCACTCAGCCATTTAAAAGACTCACAGGAGACAGAGAAATAGGCATAGAGACAGGGAACATATGTAAGAGAAAGTTACAGTAGGCTTATAAGAAGTAATGAAGGAAATGGAATATTAGGGTTGAATGTGTGAAAGGTAGAGCTATAACATAAGATTTCAGGAACCATTGGCTATGGGAATATTAAGAACAAGACAAAAACTTGGTACAGAATTGCTTATAAAGAATAAAAGAGAGAAAGACAGAAAAAAATGACACATTCCTGATTTCTGTTTTACGAGTATTTGGTATAGGCTTGTTTCTAAAGTAAGGAATAAAATGAATATTATTAGACATTATACATTCACAGTTACTTATCATTACCCAGGTAAAGTATCTCAAAGGTATGTGAACACATTGATCTAGAGCTCCCCAAAAGGCTGGCAGTAGAGATAGAGACAGAGGTGACTGGCATACAGATAGGAGTCAAAACAATGTAAGTAGGTAACATATCCTAAAAAATAACACAGGGGATATGAGAGCCTTGATTTTTTAATCTTCTTCACCTACTTTACTT